GACGTGTGCTCTTCCGATCTCCCCAAAACCCCAAAACCCCATAGTTCTAAAAATATTAGTGAAATGATAGAAAATATAAGGAAGAAATAAATTTACTTGAAAAATGAAAACCAAATAGCGTAAGCTCTTATGATTTTTATTCTTAGATAAACTTATTATTAGGACCTTAATCTCAGCTTAAGCAGTAATCCAAGTTTGATGCTATGAACTTCATTACAGCTATACAACCCTCCGCATAGTAATCTCAGTGTTCAACCAGAAAACATGAGTTAAAGGAAAACCAATCAAGCATTATGAATTCAAGCTTCAACAAGATCGACAATAACTTTCTAATTTCTAATAAACGTCAAGAGCGATTCAAAAGAAACAATCTTTCAAAAAGTAAACTAAAATATTTTAATTTTCTTTATTACTATAGGTATACTTGTAAATACATTAATGGGTTAGCAGACAAATGACTTATCAAACACTCTGGACAGTTAGCAACTGAAACTGTAGTCAAAGGCACTAAAATAGTTCAAGGAATTTAAAATGAATGAGTTGAGCAAGATCAATAATTCTAATTCACTCAACCATAATCAAAGCAATATCTCTACCACTATCTCAACTATTACAAATAACAGTATGATATTCAATCGATTTAGATCAGAATAGGTTTGCTAAAATCATCTAATTAGAAAAGTCTCGGAATGCTCAGCTTTTTCAAAGCATCAAAGTTGTTTAGGTATTTATCCAATAAATTTTAATTTTTTATAAAAATAGTGTTGAATTGACTCATGATAGGAATTAAGATGACATTTTCCTAAATTAGCCTGAATTGATAGAATTTGCCAAAGTAGATTCCAAATTATATGTTTTATAACCTATTAATTTAGAAAAAAATGAATCGAAGGGAATTTCTTCTTTCTCAGAGTATTAGTCCTAATAAGAGGATCAAGCATCACAACAGGTTCTATGTTTCAAAGAATGGAAAAACCTATGGAAGTAAGTAACCATAAAATTAACTGGATCTTGAATTATTAAAAATTTATAGTGTATTAAAGATTTGCTTCTCCTGTATAATCCCTTGATTTAAGTCCTGGCCCTGGAGCTTATACAACTGGATTAGGTCCAATATAAAGTGGTTCAGTAAAATTTGCTAAAAGAGATAAAATGATGTCACAAGATATGATACCAGGGCCTTGTACATATTTTGAAAGTGGTAAAAAGGATCTTAGTCAATCAGCTGCATTCTCGTTTGTGTAATTACAATGAGTATTTGATGATTATTAAATAGGCGTAAACCCAGGAAACTATTCAGTGATGAGGTGATGCCTTAATCGGAATTAGCCTCTTTGATTTTATCAAACACTGGGCCTTAACCTAAGCGAAGGATGAAAGGGTTCACTTTTGGAATAGGAAATAGAGCAGAATAGGTTGACATGTCTAAGGTTTAATTCCCTGGACCTGGATTTTATTATACTAAAGAAGGGTAAACTACTTTCCAAAATGTTTCTCCTAAATATACTATACCCATAGGTGGCTCTGGTTTCCAATTTATGTTAAATAAAATTTGAGATTAGTATAATCGGCAAGTAATTTAATTATGCTTCTGAAATATTTAAATCAGATATCTATAATCATTTTAATTTCTGATTTTATAAGTATTTTACCTTACGGGGTTTTGGGGTTTTGGGGTTTTGGGG